AATATCTGTTTCGACAAGAATCGAAGTAAGTCCACCATCAGCAAAAATATAACCTATACTTACAATAAATGTCATTGTTAGGTGCATCCCACCAAGTTGCAAAGTCACTTTGCCAGACAATTTTGGAGGTTCGTTCCACAGTATTTCGCGCGCCTTGGAATAAATTGCTAAGTCTGCGGTTATTACAATATGATCCTGATTCAGTTTTTCTGCTAACTGTACTAACCTTACCATTGCGGTAAAAATTGTGTCGAATTATGTTGGTGCAGCATTTAAAAAGGAAAGGTATATAATTAATGAAACTGGAATATTATTTTTAGATATAATATTTTTAACATCACTCCATCCAAAAAAGAATACTCATTCTGGAGTAATTTCAATAATCGCCAAAATAAATTCATCTTTTTCCAGCAATTTGAATTTTCTCGAGATATTGTTGGTAACTTTAATTCAGGAAGTACAGGACGTGGTTTAGGCTTATTATATTTTTCAAGTCGCTGCAGACTTATGTCCGTTTCTTCTATGCTTAAAGCGAATGTACCTCCTTTAATCGAATCCCTAATTGATTGTATAGACTGTTTTTCTTGAAACACAACCATGACCATAGCATGTGTTGTTCCTTTTCCATCAATGGTTTTTTCATGAGGTTAAAATTATCATTACTTGCAATGTAATTTTTTTCTCAGGTGAAACCTTCGCCAAACATTTAGGTACATATATATCTTCTTTATCATCGATTTCTTGTTTTACCTCGGCAAATAGCTTTGCATCTATAAGCCATGACACGAACAGGAGTAAAATATTTGGAACGTGATTCTGAAACCCCATTTTATTAATATCATCTGATGTGGGAAATCCAGTTTTTGGTTGAAATGAAGCCATTACACAATGTAATATGGCAACAGCTCTTAATAAAATTTGAATTTCGGACATTTCTTTAGGAAGTAAAATATCTTTCGGAACATCAATATCATTACTGTCAATACTTGCTGAGGAGTTGGACATTGTCGAATTATTTTAGGGTGAGTTTGTGATAATATTGGGAACAGTTTTCTTATTTTTGTGAGAATTTATGTTTCTTGGAGATATATAGTTGCTGTAACATAATTTATGGTATTTCGCATCGAACGCAAATAAATCTTCATAGCCATTTAATTTAGATATCATATTGTGACGAAAGTCTAATTTATTTAAAGTTTATTTATTTAAAAACACACTATTTACAATTTATTTCAGACGTACTATTTAATTTATATAATATTTGAACACTAACTAACAATTCTAATTTATTTCTTACACTTTTACTTTTCAATACGCTGATCGTCGACTATTTATATAAATCCAACTCCGCTACTGGAAAATGTCAGAGCCTCGCGAAGATTCTACTTCGATGAGTAAACGGCACTCCTCCGCCATTTCAGCTGTTTCTAGCCACAGCGGCAGGCATCCCGTACATTCGAGAAGCTGTCCAATTGTTTCCACACGTCAGCGTTGCTTCGATCGCGAGTTGGTTGTCATGTGAAGGCTGCGTGCGTACACAGGCACAGGGTCGTATTAGGAATATCATAACAATATCTATGTAATTTCTATTTTTAGCAGCTTTAATAATTTTTGGATAAGTAGCTTTTCCACTACCTAAAAATATATGTAGCAAAGGTAGAAACTAAATAAAATTTAAATTACCTGTTTGAACCGATATCAGACTTTTCTTCTTTTTTATTCCATTTTTGTTGCAAATAAGGCACACTTTTCTAATATTGCAAATAACGATCAATGTTATTAGAACTTGTGTAAGATTTACGACAGTCTATATGATATCTTATTTTAATTTCGCCGTTTAAAATACCATTAGCAACATTGACCTTGTATTTTTTGAGCACTTGGTATTAATGATAACAAACCTTGTATTCTAGGCCTTTGTATCACAGATTTGTCGCCATCCTGCACAATCTTCTTACAAATAATGCACTTTGTTTTCTAACAAAAATGAAATAATTGCACACAGCAAACAATGGCTGCGTTCATCCGCGCCATTTCAAGGAGCGCTACAAAAGTAGCGATCACTTACGCTACCTGATCGATCTTTATGCACGGATGAACCATGTTTAAAAGTGACATTTGATTGTGGTTTATTCATTTTAGTTTTGAGTTGAATGTCTCTGGTTGAACATTTGTTTGTTTATTTTTCAATTGCTAATATAACCCTACTAGTCACCAAGCAAACCGTGGACGTAAGTGCCAGGGGTGGGAAACTGGTATGCGCAGGCCTGGGATCAATCAACCACGTCCGCGTGGCGCTGCAGTCGGGTGGTGGGGTAGGTGGTGGGAGTGTAAATGATAGGTGAACATTGATTTTTGTGGGGGTGTCATGGCGTCTTGGCTTAAACCAAACGTGTTTATTTATATTGGTGACTTGGTTGTGTTCAGTTGTGTTTTCATTTCCAATTTGCTTAATTGATTTAGTTGACCACTGTTAGTGAGCTTGTTTTTCCATTATAAATTTGTGCGTTTTGAACTGTTATCTTGTGCTTTTTCCGCTGTTATTTCGTGCTTTTCCATAAAGATGCGTAATTATAGAAAATGTTGTGTACCGAATTGCCTTGATGTGGACAACAAGATGCATCGCCTGCCCCACCCTAGGAATGAACCCGATTCTGTTTCATGAGGTTTGGGGTTGCAAAGCTGTATCGTCGAAGAAGAAGCAGACTAATTTTATATGTTGGACTTCTTTTCGAGAAGGAAAGTTAGTAATCTACTCATTTATTTTATATTTATACTGTGTATTTTCTGTTTCATGAGGTTTGGGGTTGCAAAGCTGTATCGTCGAAGAAGAAGAAGAAGCAGACTAATTTTATATGTTGGACTTCTTTTTGAGAAGGAAAGTTAGTAATCTACTCATTTATTTTATACTTATACTGTGTATTTTCTGTTTCATGATGTTTGGGGTTGCAAAGCTGTATCGTCGAAGAAGAAGCAGACTAATAATACATGTTGGACTTCTTTTTGAGAAGGAAAGTTAGTAATCTACTCATTTATTTTATACTTATACTGTGTATTTTCTGTTTCATGACGTTTGGGGTTGCCAAGCTGTATCGTCGAAGAAGCAGACTAAAAATATATGTTGGGACTTCTTTTCGAGAAGGAAAGTTAGTACTCTACTCATTTATTTTATACTTGCCGCGTTTGAGAATCCATATCGGATGCATTTTTTACATCTCAAGCGTTTTTTATCCACATCGGACACATCTGTTCCATTACATTTACGTATACTGAATGACATGATCAAAGATTTACTACATCTCAGATGCATCCGATGTGGATTCTCAAACGCGACATATACTGTGTATTTTCTGTTTCATGACGTTGGGGGATTGCAAACCTGTATCGTAGATGTTGGACTTATTAAAAAATAAAGTATTCCTCGGACTTATAATTTTTTATTAATCCATTTATTTTAATGAGATTGTACTTATACTGTCTTTCTTTTTTCACAGCTAAAGTTCTTCACAAAATGATGGACAGTGTTGTATCCTGGAATATGTAGCAGCCATCCAGCTACTTCATTTTCATATACATTACATTTTTTAAATATTGGATTTGTATTATACAGGATGTTAAAAAAGGTGTCACAAAATGAAATGGTGAATAGTATGACCCAAAATAAGCAGAAAAGTCTTAATAAATATATGACCGCAAATTAACGGTTTCGGAGATACGGACCATTTTGTGTTTATAACAATTTTTTATTATTATAAAAAAACAATGATATTTATAAACAATCAATAACAACATAGAGCTAAATGAGATGTTCAAAGTGCCCTCCCTCCATTTCAATGCATTGCCATTTGCACGACCGTACATAAAATGCATGTCAGCTAATTCAATATTAGTGTAAACAGGCATAACGAAAATTTATAAAATTATTTACCCACAACAAAATAATAACTGCAAATAGTATCTATAAAAAAACATCGGTAGACTCCGATAAGAAAAGCAAGTTTTTGAGAATGAAAAAAGATAATCAAAAAATGATACAAAACACAAAACACTCCGTATCTCTGAAACCATTCATTTGCGGACATATGTTTATTAAGACCTTTCTGCATATTTTGGCCCATACTACCCCCCGTTTTATTTTGTGACACTTTTTTTTTAACACCCTGTATATATTCTTTAATAAATTTATTTTTTGAATATTCTTGTTTTTTTTATCTAAAATCTGTTAGCCAAATTAAGATTTGTTCACACAAACTGCATTTTTGCTTTATTATAGCGATATTCGCTATAATAAAGCAAAAATGCAATTTGTGTGAACAAATCTTAATTTGGCTAACAGTTTTTAATGCGGATAATTTTTACTGTCAAATTTGAATAGCCCCGCGCTTTTCTTCTCTTCTTCTTTTTATTATTTTCTCTTCTTTCATATGGCCTCTTACCAGACAAGGACTTAATTGAAAAAAAATCAACCACGTCCACCAGGTGCCGCTAAAAACTCTATCATCCTTTTTTAACATGGGAGATACCGTTCTAAGAGTAAGTGTTCTGTGGTAAGTGCGTAAGATAGATCAGTGATCACCGATTAGACGTAAATAAAATGCGCTACTTTTAATGGCGGCCGCTCCTTGAGCGAAATGTCAAAATACACCGTTCATACGTGCCACTCGAGAGCGCTACCAGATCGATCAGGGTAGCTATTCTTGAATTTGAGGGAATAGAAAACCGGTTTTGCCTCTTTATCTGCAACGCGCAAAATTTATATTTTTGTCTCATTCTTCCCTCAAAGTAGTATTTCTACTCCCTGAAATTCAAGAATAGATACCCAGGGTAGCTATTCTTGAATTCGAGGGAGTAGAAAACCGGTTTTTCTTCTTTATCTGCAACACACTAAATTTGTATTTTTGTCTCATTCTTCCCTTAAAATTTCTACTCCCCGAGATTCAAGAATAGCTACCGGTAGCATGTGGCGCGGATGAACGCAGCCAGTGTACAACGTCAAACACCTCTACTTAGGCTGGATCCACATGCATCCGTGATACGCATCCGTTGTATACCACGTGATCAATATCAACAAATGAAATTTTAGGGAATAAAATCACGTACGTTTCAAGGTCACAACGGATTGAAGTTGGTCAATTTTAACTTTTTATGCGTGATTGAGGTTAAGTTATTGTTTTGTATACGAGACACGAGTGTTGTGATTTTTAAAATTTTTATTTACTTTTGACAAAAAGTTATTTTTAACAATGTCGAGCCAAGTTCAGTACCAATGTGCGTACTGCAAATTTTTTATAAATTCCTATTGTGAGGACTACATGGAACATATCTGTTTCAGTGAAAAATTGAAAAATCTGCCCACTGACAAAAATTATGCAATTGTATTATCTGGACAGCATAATAATGTGTTGGAATTAGGTAAGTTATCTTTATTTGTTAGGTAGTAAATACTAAAGTTGTAGATAAATAATTTAGCAGGGTTCAGGGAGATTGCATGGTGAAATAGAACAGTAGAACATCAAAGTGAGTTTTTATTTTATGAATTTTTCACTTTATAGTTGAAGATCCAAGCACAACTCGGCCAGCAGCAAGTCCTACAGAAGGAAGTCTGGATGACGAAATGTTAATTTCATTGGTGCAAAGCAAACGAGCCCTTTGGGATCACAGACTTCCTGTGGCTCAAAGATCACCAGCCAAAATAAGACAGATGTGGGAGAGTATTGCTCAGGAATTAGAAGGTATTATTAAATAATATTTTTCTTGTTAATCGAAAATTGTTAGCACAGAAATGGAAGTTTTTAACAGAACTGGAAATCCAAAAACAAATTTTAAAATCGTTGCACGAGGACACAACAAAGAAACCTGATGGGATTGATGGGTTTCTTATGTTACTAGGAGAGGGGTTAAGACGAATCCCACAACGAAACCAAGCAAAAATGCAAATTAGGTTCTTGCAAATGCTGGCAGATGAGGAGGAAAGCATTGAGTAATAACTTTAAAAAGCTCATCTCTTAAAATCATATCTGTGCTTTGATGCTTAAATAAATAATTTTTAATCTATTTTTGTTTTAGTAAGTCTAGTATACCTTTATTAGACTACGCGTCCTATATCCTGCAATCCATTGACTTATTTAGCGCGCTACAAAAAAAATCGCTGTTGCCAAACGATACACTTTAGGAAAAAAGTAATGATTTTAAAAACTTTTATGATGCATAGTCTTTATTTTTTGGCTGCATGCATATAAAAATTTTCAAAAATAAAAAAGTTTGCTGATTGGTGAAAATTTTAATCCATAAAATATATATTTTTACTTTATTTGATTTTTAGATAAATAAAAGTGGGAATTGTGTTCAAGCCGCTTGTATTGCTAATAGTGCTACAATGTATTCTTTAATTTGATACAAAAATAATTTCAGTATCTATATTAGTTTTAAAGATATTACGGTGGAAACAAAAAAAATATAAATTCTTTTTTAATAAAATTAATTAACTTTTTTCGATTTACAAAATGCGAGACCACAACAAAATGTCGTCAAATGTGATTTCATATACCCAGTGACATGCTCAAAGAAACCTACCATGCTTGACCTGGTTCTACGCCAGAAAAAAAAAGACACGATAGACTCACGAAATCGCTGCTCTATCCACTACAGTTTTACAATATATACCTATTTTTTTTTTATTAGTTTTCTCACTTAAAATGCTATATATTTATGCACTATTACCGATTAATAATTATTATTCACTACTAAAAGTCAAATTAATTTGTAAAATGTTTTACAAAAAACTAAGAAAAATGGATTTTGAAATTGGAAATGAAATGTCTTTAACTTCACCAGAAATAAAAGAAGCTGCTGAAATTGTGTCACGGAATGTATTGTCAGAAAATCAAAAACAGTGTATGTGGCGGCGTACGAATTTCCCTTAAATTAGTCAAAAAAACAAAAACAAAATCGTATTCGGAATCTGTTATGTTGGTATATTTTACAGAACTATCTACAAAATATAAATCCTGAACCTCAACACTAAGGGACCAATTTTTTTCAATGCTTAGAAGTACTATCCAATATACATCAAGGAATAAATGTAAAAAATTATACGAAACTACCAACGTTATTAAAGCTAAAGCATCAGACGACAAATACCTTGCAGCAAAGGAAGTCTATTCATTAAAGTCCATATATTACAATTAAGTATTTATTTATTTATTTAAATTGCATTAATAATAAGAATAACGGGTGATTGTCAGGCTAATGAGACGTATTTCATGAAAATTAGTGATATACAAGACCTTGGATCAACTTTTTTAGTAAGCATCAGAAGATAAAAGTCTTGATTAAGGTTTTTCTTCATATATTACAATTAGGTATTTATTTCTTAGTCTTTATTAATAGGCATAATGGAAGCTTGTCCGGCTAATGAGATGTATTGCATGAAAATTAATGATTTAAAAGACCGATTAGCTTTTTTAGTAAATTTTCCCAAAACCAAGACAAAAACAACTTGAACATTTTTAATTACCAATAATTTTTAAAAAATACATCAGTAATCGTCCAACACTATTTTTAAACTATCAGAACGATAAATGCACTGCCCAAATAATTGGTGTTAATAAATTTATCAAAATGAAAAAAGATGTTGCCGCTTTTTTGAAACCATTATAAATTTGTATACGTAGGTAGACTTAAGCGACAATGGGTGCAAATATGTTTACATGAACAGATCTAAGGGAGTAAAGGGATCATATAATTTTATATGGACATATTTAAAAGGGACCAAATATTTTTAGATAAATAGGCGAAGTAAGGAGCTCAACTATTTTACATGCATAAGAGGTAAAGGGGCCAATTATTAATGGATAAATTGCTCGAACAAGTTTGTAAACCCTAATCAAAAGGCGATATAGAATGGTTTTAAAAATCAAGGCTTGTAAAAATCATCACATGGTTTAACTTAAATAATGCCAATGCTTCACAAACCAGTTAATAATACTATAGGCTTTCGGTCTTTTATTTCAAGTTTTATTACTTCTGCTATTTTCCAGAACTAGTCTAAACGATTCCAAAACCAAATCACCTAATGGAAGTTTCATCATACAGACCAATTTCTTTATATCTAGATTATTTGAAAAATTACTCTCTAAAAGATTAAAACCAATAATAGAGAAAAAAAACCTAATTCCTTCTCAACAATTTGGCTTTGGAGAAAGCCAATATACAATAAACCAAGTGCACAGAATTACAGACACTATTAAAAAAACCCGTTACTTCATGTAACCATTTGGATCTGGGCCTACCCTTTCTACTTTTTCAGATTACTTCTCATTTCATTAGAGTAAATTTATTGTATCCATTTTACTCTTTCGATTTATTCTCTCGACTATTTTGTTGCCATCAATAACCAAATAAAAAAACAGTTTTGATTTATTTTAACCGAAGTTTTTATTTTAAAAACATAAAATTGTTGGCAAATTTACAAAACTTTAAATCATAATAATGTAATAATTAATTTTCTTGATAAATGGATTGTCGAAGTGTATTCTAGATATATTTAAATAATGTTTTTAAACAAAATATATACAACAAAGCAATCTAGAGTGTACTAGAAAAAACATTTAATCAAATTGCTATTAGTCAAATGCTTTAGACCAGCTAACAACATAAACATTGAACTAATAGATAAGTAGCCGATAATCATTACTAAAATACAATCATGTATAATTTGATATTATCGACGATGTTCTCTAAAAACGTGTTATTGTTGCAAATTGCCAACCGATGATAATAATAATAATAATAATAATAATAATGTTAATCTTGAATTTATACAGAATAATAATTAACTCATCACTTCTAATGATGAAACGTATATTTTGCAGCCCCAAAAAGGTTGTATGTAGATAAATGGCCAAAAAATAAACATGACTTTAATTGTCCCGCCTTTCTTCAATTCACTACTACCAGAGACAACCCAGCGACACGTGTAACAAAATGTATTTTTTTTTGTTCGGTAAAAGCAATGAACTGGAGTGGGGTAGAAAGCCAATGTGCATATTGTATCAATAGAACAAGATGTGACTCTATGGGCGCAGCCATTTTTATTTCTCATCTCACTCGGGAGTATTTATACTAACCATTTTCTGTTTCACATTGTTATTGTTCGATCCACAAGCTGGTGGATCAGACAATAACAAAGTGAAATAGGAAATGGTTGTTATAAATACTCCCGAGTGAGATGAAAAATAACCTGTCTTCGCCCATAGAGTCGCATCTCAACACATACTTTGATTACTATACGGGGCAAGAGAGAGGTCCGACACGCCCAACATAGGGCGCGGCCATTTTGAACCCTATGACACAGTTTATAGCTAAAGAATCAGATCGCTCACTCTGCGTCGGCACTTTTGATCTCAATGTTCCAGTTTATACACTGCGCAACTCGAATAATACAATATATGACAACCGTCTATAATAAAACAGCAGTCTTCTGCGTATCCTGAATTTGTATCCCTGGAGTGGATGTTATTTTGGAACTTTCAACTGGTCCGAGTGAGCTGACTGATTCTTTGGCAATAAACTATGACTCCAAAAATAATATTCACTGACACTGACAGCAGCAAGCAAAATATGAGGTGCGTTTTAATAATCCGCTTCTGCTTCCGGAATTGTCGGTTTAGTCGTTTTAACCTGTCAGATTAAAACAAGAAAACCGACAATTCCGAAGCAGAAGCGGATGATTAAAACGCACCTATTAAAAATATTGCGCCAATATGTAGGCAACACGTAATAAGGGTTCAAAATGGCGGAGTTTTCTATCTCCTTTTAAAAGGCACTCAGAAAGCTGCGCAGTGCGACCATTCTCCGTATAGTAAAAGAAAATCAAAGTATGTGCATCTCAAGCCTATTGACAAGCATTCTACTCCACTCCAGTTCATTGGGTAAAAGTTGTTTGGGCGATTGTAACCACAACCAGTCTATGATGCCGCCACTAGTAAATAGCGGGAAAATTAAAAATGCGTTAGGGCGGAAAATTCAAACATGGATTGCTACAAGAATATCTTGAAATATCTATTTACTAAACCCAGGACATGTTTTATTATGTGATTTAAAGGACATTTCAGGTACCAAACGTTTATTATTGATGAACTTATTTAAAAATTTTACTATCCATATTCTTATATTATGAAGTGAATTGCGTAGTACTTTGTATACATTTAAATGGTAATAAAATCGTCACAAATCAGATTACAGTTTGATTCTAAACAAAGTTTTGCAAAATTTCAATATTGTGAATTTGTAGATATCCATTTAACATAAGAAACAAAATTTTACGACTTGTACTTGGAAAATAATGAATACTTCAGTTTTGATTTTGACATTAACACCATATAGATTGCAATTTGCTGGGGGCTTTTTCGCAGACTTCATTTTTAATTTTAACACTATCCCATATACTATAAGAAATCAACAAATTTAAAGCTAAAAAGTAAGAAAAAACTCGAATTGTAATTGATACAAATTAAAATGTAAACAATGAACATAAACGCCAATGTTGCCAAATGATAAACTGATTTTAAAACAAAATTAATAAATGAACTGAAATTTAAAAAAAAATCAATATAATAAATCGGTTTTATAAAAAAATCCCTAAATAAATATAGAGTATGATTACATATTACTAGACACAAATTTTGATTCTTAAATAAAAGGTCTCATCCACTTCTTCAAGACCTAAAATCCGACGACGTAGCGAAATTTTGCTACTTCTGGCAACACTGAACGATATCCTACTT